CCAAGGCCCAGAGCCCAGTTCTGGCACTGACTCTCTTCAAGGCCCAGAGCGCGGTTCTGGGAACTGAAGGGAGGCCCGTGGAGGGAGAGGGGGTTCAGGGGGCATCACAGATGTCGTCAGGAGCCAAACCAGTGAAGCGCTGGGAGCTCATCTTCCACATGGCGGACTGACAAAAAAAAAAAACGTGATGCTGCTGTTTTTTTTTTTTCTCCCCCTCAACAGCCCCGCGCGAGCACATCCGCACTGCGCTTTCGCTCGCGCCCCATTGGCCGAAGGCTCGGCGGCGGGGCACGCGCGCCGGGGCCACGCGCGGAGCCGCGGGGTGGGCGGGGCCTGCAGGCTCTCCCTCTTCCTGCGCAGCGCGACTCCCCGGCAGCGGCGGCAGGCGGGCGGACCCGGCGTGCTCTCCTCCTGCGGTACCTTCGCCGGTGCGCCAGGAACACGACGCGGAGCAGCTCGACTCGGCTTGAGCGGCGGCATGGCGGCGGCGGAGTCCTGCGTCGTGGTAAGCTGGTGCGCGGGGCTATAAATAAAGCGACCCCCCTCCCTCCCCTCTCCGGGGTCGGGTGTCCAGTCGGGAAGACACAAGCCTTCGCTTTCTTGTGCGGGAACTTGTTTTTGTCTCCCTGAGGTGCCGGGGGCTGTGCGTGTCTTTAAGTCGTGGACGCCAGGCGGAGGGAGGGAGCTCAGCGTGTCAATCTGTCGCCCGCGGCTGCACGCCACGCTCTTTCGTGGAAAGGGCCCCCACGCGTGGGCCACATGGCCCTGGGATGAGGCGGCTGAGCTCAGGTTGCGCCGCACAGCGCACCTCCAGCTTGAGAGCACCGGCGGGGACGGGCAGATCGCTGTCCGCTGTCCGCTGTCCGCTCTCCGTGCGGGATACGTGCGCGTCGCTTGGAAATACGATAGCGATGTTTTGATGGTAACCCATAATCCGGATTTGTTTTCCCCCCGCCCTTACCCTCTCTCTTTCTATTTTGGGTCGTGCGTGTTTGTACTGGCACTTGTCAACAAAAGCATGACCTTCCCCTGTTTTCGAACCGCGCAGGGAGCCGGGTTTTTTGGGCGAAGGTTGAGCTGCAATAAATGCGGCACAAAATGGTGTCCCTTTTCTGCCCCGGTTGTAACTGCCCAGGTAGAATGGTCACAAGCGAGCCTGGTGGGTCTCCCCCCCCCCCCATGAAAGTGGAGCGTTGCTGCCTTTTGCAACAAAAAAAAAAGGTGTAACATCAACTCGCCTCTGCAGGGGGGAAGTTTATAATTTTCTTTCCCAGGGGTTATCGCCGGTGCTCCGTCATCAGCTGCAGCTCCTCTCTCTGTTCTGTCAGGGGACGAGCGATGGGCGATGAAGTAGCGTTTTGTTGATTGCACGATGAGCATTGAGTTGCTTCCCAGGTCTGTGTTGCTACAGGGAGCCTGCAACGTTAATTCCGTGGAAAATGCTGGCGTCCAAAATAAAGACTTTTCTCCCCGGCTGCGATTCATTCTCTAAGCGTTGTTGCTTCCTCAAATATTTCGTCCTGTCAGCTGTAGCTGCTCTGTGAGTTTCTGCTTCAAGGCGGTCAGAATCAGGCATGTCTAATGCACCCCCCCAAGAGCAACGTCTTAGAAAGGTCTGTAAAATCATCTTCCTAGAACAGGTGCCCCCAGCCTGGGTCCTGCAGGGCCCATGAGTCTATCGCTTTTGTGATTTGTGAATAGTGATCTAAATCAGCTCGTTAGTGGCCTGAGCAGACCCATCATGACAGCCATGGTGTGTGTGTGTGTCTGGCGCACTATGGCTGCCGTCGCATCATCCAGGTGGGGCTGCACACTGGTGGTGGTGGAGGGGATCCCCATTACCTGTAAAGCTCATTGAGTGGAGTGTCCAGAAAAGCGCTATATAAGTGTAAGCAATTATTATTATAATTATTATTAACGGGCTTCCAGAAACATCTAAGAAAATCTAAGAAAATGATTCAAGTTGATTGTTGACTTGGTTTGCTCGGGGGCGGAGCCTGTGGCCCGTTGCCACCGGGAGCCAATCAGACAGCTGCACCTGGGCTCTAATGGGCGGTGCCTCGTGGTAGTCATGGCGATGGCTTCCCATTGTTGTTGTTGCTGTTGTTGTCTTCTCTCTCTCTTCCCATGCTGGGGTGGTGACTCAAGGCACAACCTCCACTCCTGCCCTCCTACCCCCAGCCGGGGCAGTGCAGTAACGACGAGGGGGGAACAACAACAACAACAACATCCCTCACAGAAATCCGCTGTACCAGTCGGACTGCGCTCGCGTTGAAACTGAGGGCTGGGGATTCCCGGTTTGGCGTTGACAGGGCACTCCGGCCTGTCCGTGCTGACGGGGTTGGTGTTCCTGTGCACGTCAGCACTGTACTTAGCGGATGGTGTACGTGGTCGCCTGTGCCCGCGGTTAGGAGAGCTGTGGAGTCTGGGATGCTAATGCGAGTTTAGAGTCATTGACCCATCGCAAGGAGAAGCCCGTGGCAGCCATTGTGGCCTCAGCACTCGGACAGCGGTTGGCTAGCAGCCGGGGTTTCAGTACCGATACCGCAAGCGTGCTGTGAGTGAAGGGTGTTGGCCTGCGCTGTGAGCTCCGCCCACCAGCCCCCTGTCCAGGGGCAGGTTCTGGTGGGCAGACCCGCCGGAGAGGGGCGGGCCGGGGCGGGACAGGGCGCGTTTTCAGCCGAGCCGTGTGAGCACGACCGGCGGCTGACTCCCCGGCCAGAGACCGGCCCCCCTTCGAGGGGGCATCACGTTGTCTGAATTAACGCAGGGGCCCCGTCGCCCGCAGGGGAAATTCGATTTTCACGGGAAGTCAAATCGGCTCTCTGGAAGTTCAGCTTCGGGGGGGGGGGAATCTGAGCAGTGGTCAGATATTTCTCATTCAGTTCATTATCTCCTTAGGTTAATGTGGATGATACTGCCAGAGGGGAAAAGAAAACACAGGCACAGTGCTTTTTTGGCCCTTTCGTGATTGAATTAGAGCTGTTTTTTCCCGTGGGGAGCGCAGGTTGTCGAGAGGCAGGCCCAGTGGCCGCCGTGCCCCTGCCGTCACCAGGGTCCGTGTAAGAGCAGAGCCCGGTTCGTACTCGCAAGCTGCTGCCACACCCTCGCAAGGAGGCCTTGCTTTAGAATGCCGTGTTTTTTTTAATAATAATGTTTCTTTATTAGCCCTATACAATTTCTTGCATTAGGAATTCGTCTTTTCGCATACCCCAGCTTTTCTCCATGGAGACACAGACAGGGAGAGAAGCTTGGGGTCAGAGCGCAGGGTCTGCCATTGTACGGCGCCCCTGGAGCAGTTAGGGTTAAGGGCCTTGCTCAGGGGCCCAACGGAGTAGGATTCCTCTGCCAGCCGCAGGATTTGAACCGGCAACCTTCCAGTCACAGGCGCAGATCCTTAGATACTCCGTAGATACTGAGTCGACGAATTGCATTTGGTGGGAAAACGGCTTTAAACTGTTCCTTCTGTGTAGCTATGGTGGCTCATCTCCGGCTCCACAGGGAGATTACAGGTGGATCTTTGTCGATGATGTTATTCACCACATATGTAAATCACCTGGAGTTCAACCAGTACCGATTTCAATGTCATTTGCACACAAAGGGGTTTGGCCAACTTAGACCTTGTTCACCAAATCCTATAGTGCAAGGCGATATGCGTGTGGTGTGTTGCTCGGGAATATGGTGTTCTTGTGCATTTCTCTGTTTGATGCTTTCCTGGGTGGCGTCTAGGGATTTGTTTACAGTTTATCCATGACGCCTCCCTACGAGTTTTCGGTTTCCAGGCTGACTGTATTTGGGGAAACACAAACCTGCACGTGGACACTGAGAGCTCAGGAACGTGTGTGTGTGTGTCTCTTTCAGATCAGTGACGAGGAGCAGGGCTATGCGTTGGACCTGTTCTGCATCCCCAAACACTATGCAGGCGACCTGGAGAGAGTCTACATCCCCCACGGGCTCATCATGGACAGGTCAGGGGTCAGGCCTCGGCGGCCAGCGCGTGTGGTAGACGTCACGCCAGCGTGGCAGTGATGCGTCCCGATTGGTCCCTCCTGCCACTGAGGGATTCCGATTGCATGCTCTGACTCCGACCTGACGCTTGCTTGTCTCCGGGGAGCAGGACCGAGCGCCTGGCCCGAGAGATCATGCGCGACATGGGAGGCCACCACATAGTGGCGCTGTGCGTGCTGAAGGGAGGGTACAAGTTCTTCGCCGACCTGCTGGACTACATCAAGGCCCTGAACCGCAACAGTGACCGGTCCATCCCCATGACGGTGGACTTCATCCGGCTTAAGAGTTACTGCGTAAGGGCCAACCTCTCTCTCTCGCTCTCTCTCTCTCTGTCACACACACTGACATAGTGTATGCACACAGAGACCCACACACACGTGCACACTCACTCACTCACACATCCGTGTGCACGTGCACACTCACAGTGTACGCACACACGCACAGTCGTGCACACGTATGCCCGCACACTCTCGCAGTCACATACACGTTCACGTGCATGTGCGTGCGCACGCACACACACACTCACGGAGACCCACGCACGCACAGCTCTGCTGTAACTTGATGGAACTGTTCACTGATGACTGTTCACACTTGGGTGCATCACTCCTTGTCAGAGGACTCCCCGGATGTGTCATCGTGCACCCTCCCAGTAATCCAGATCGGAGTATCAGAGCTAATCTGGGATACGGCAGGAGTCTGCTCCGGTTTTCCAAGGCTGGTCTCTGGTGTAAAGGAGACGGAGCCAGAGGAGCTCACTAATTGTGCTACCAAGGTCTCCCAATGGGAGAAACCACACCACTGCTGGCAGATCATTCGCTGGAAAGGTAGTCAGTCTCGGCATGTGTCGTCTTTTCCAGAATGACCAGTCCACTGGAGAAATAAAAGTCATCGGAGGAGATGACCTTTCGACCCTCACAGGAAAGGTGAGATTGACCACTGGCATGTTTTCTTCACTGAAGTGTTGAACTAAAAAAAAAAAGGATAATTTCAGTCAAGTTCATTCTAAAAAATTAATAAGATGGGGGAAATTGTTTTTAAGAGGTAATGTTTTAACCAGTACACACACACTAAATAGATCATTGTAACTGATAACTGTATTTACTCTGACTCCTTTTTCCATTTTAAACAGCAGTTCCTTCAAAAGGTAACTTGACACAGAGATGGATTGCCTTTGTTTAGCAGTAACTTTCCCCACTGCAGCAGATTAGGGAGGTCAGAGATCAGTTCTGAAAGACATGGGACTGGTAATGAGTTCAACAAAAGTTGAAAACCGTCTTATGATGGAAGAACAAATTCTTCTAATGTGCTATTTGAAACTATTGTAATGCCTCTCGGTATATTTAGAGTACGATAAACTGACTCAAAAGGTGACATAACAAGGATTTGCATGAGCTAAACTGAGGTCTCTTTTTCTTGTCTTGCAGTCCTTTTGCTGACAGCATAGGCAAGAAATTAATGCCTACTTTAGACTTTCATTAGTTGTAAGATATGGAAACCTTTCTCCTGTACAGTACATGCCAATAAAGAGCTGTACATGGCAGTTAGATTCTTGTAGGTTGCTGAATCTGAAGTGACCCGAAAAACTAAACAGAAATGAAAAAATAACAATTGCAAGTGGATCGGTACAGCAGCGCCCGTTATTCGCTGCGGTTATCTTCCTACCCTTTACTGACCGCAATACTTGGGCACTTTGCCCACTGTGAGAAAACACTGCCTCATGTGCCCTTTGACAGGTTTTTCGAGGGCACCTGCAGGCAGCCAGATCAATAAAGAGTTGCTCTGTACATGCCTCTGTTCGGATTGGCTGGAAACTACCAAGACGGTCTGCAGGCATGCCAGGTCTGCTAATGTTTAACCTTCGCCATACACTGTTCAAACATATCGACAGACGCTGTTAAATGTCATTTCAAAACCATCTGACAGAAACTTGGTTCACTGACCCGAGTTGTCAGTGAACCCAACTCTTCAGTCTGCGTTCTGTTTAACTCTTAATGCTCCTGTGTTGTTTCACTAGAGGGACGATGACCAGCAATAGGAGAACCTATTTTGTGACTGAGAAGTGTCTTTTAGATTTTAGATGAAGTCTGTGACACTGGGAAGAGTAAACACTTCTAACTTCAAAGGAGAGAGGATGTTCGTTGAGGTCTGGGGGGTCCCTTGAGCAGAAACGAGGGTACAGGTTACCTTAGTTTACCCAGGGAAGTTGTGGATGAATGATTGGCAAGGAGCAGGACAGAAAGACACAGTATAAGATGGCAGAAAGGAGAGAGGAAGAAGAGAGTCCAGAGGAGTTGGGACTTGAAGCTTGTGCCAGGCCAGAGCCCCTACTTCTCGATCATCCAAACCAGACCTGACTGGAGCTCAGTATTTGAACCTTATTAGAGTGTTCTGTTCTGTGTTTTTAGGGAACATGGGCTTCCTGGGTAAAAGGTACTTCCGTTAGAAACATCTTTCCTGATTAGGGTGTATTTTATGGATAGGGAAATTGGCTCGCATTTGTTTTGTGGCATCCAGGGTGCAGAGAGAGAGATCTAACTGCAGGTCCCTTTGTATTTAGTTAGAAGGCATCTTATCTCTTGTGTGGTGGCATATTAAGAGTTTAGTGCTTAGTAGCAGTCTGGGGTTTTCTGGGTGGCCAGAATGTTAGGCCTCTGAAATGCTTTGTCTGTAAGTACTGTACATGAAGTAACCCGTGTGTTGTATGGTTTGTGTCTTGTGTAGTTTATTGTAATAAATATTTGTTTAACCAAGTGTGCCTGGATTATTACCCCTCTCAACAAAGCTGTGCAAGAGAACAAAGAATTCACGTCCCTCAAATTATACCAGCCGCTCAGGTATATGGTTAGAAATCGCGTACAAGTCGGGAGTTATGAATAATCATTTCACTTATTGTCAAAACCGCTCGGTCAGTTCCTGATTTTCACCAGTTTCGTAACCCCCCATTTGTACCCATTAAAGAAGAGCGACTGTTTGATTACTGATCGTGTTTTTCTCTTTTTTTTCCCCCTCCCGCCTGTTTCGGGATGCAGAATGTCTTGATAGTGGAGGTGAGTGCCACCTTTTAAAAAAAAAAAAAAAAAAAAACAACCTCTACCTACATTTTTGTTTGTTTGTTTTTTTTAAACAACCTAATCCAGTGACGGGCACTGGCGTCCGTCGCTGAGAGAACGCGGTCGATTAAGGCGCGCTCTTGTTGTCTGTGCAGGACATCATTGACACAGGCAAGACGATGAAGACCCTGCTGGAGCTGCTCAAGCAGTACAACCCCAAAATGGTCAAGGTGGTCAGGTAAGCGGGGCCTGGCCGCTGGAGGCACGCTGTCCTGTCGGTGGACCTCGGGGCCCTGACTTCTCCTGCCTCTGCCCTTGTAGAATTAGTGCTCGAGCCACTCGGTCTGCAACAGAAGAGCTGACACCCCTGTGCTACAGAACGTTAGTAAGGTTGCGATTGAATTGGACTATTGCTGCTGTTATTGTCATGTGATTATTTGTAAACTGCAGTGGGGTTCGCAGTACAGTACACAACACAAGTGATGTGTGCTGAGCTTTTTAACAGACAGCCCTTCCTTTCTTTTGTCACATTAGCATTGCAAACTGGAGATATGGGGGGAAAAAAATGGTGTCCCTCACTGCCATACTTCACTGGACACTAGCGCCCCCAGGCAGCAAGTCTTAATATTGCAACACTCTGGGGGGAAGTAAAATTATTATTGCGTCGTGACATTATTATTTTATGTAGCATCTTTGCCATGTGCTGCTCTATCTCAAAGCGCTTTGCGGTTCAAAAGGCCAAAAAAAAAAAATAACTATAACGTGATGTCACGAATGGGCATAGCAGAAGTGCAGCTGCATGAGTCTGGAGTCTGGAAATGCATTTTTAAATGTTGAGAGAGCGGGAGGCTGTTGCAGGCTTGGGCAGAGCAGACTGTAGTGGAGGCCAGAGAGCCCCGTCGTGTGCACATGCAGGGGACCAGCGAGCACAGAGCTCAATTAAGGAGTATTATTGCACCGCAGCAGGAATGCGAATGCATGGTAGCAAGGAAAAACAAAAGAGTTTCACAGGTTTCTTCTGAACTTTAGACTGGGATAATGCTGGAGGGCCAAAACCAGGAGTGAAGTGTGTGCAGTTAAATTCCTCGCCGCTGAATTTTGAATGTACTGGAGCTCACTGATGATACACTTGGAGGCCCCAAACAGCAGCGCTTCATGGTAACCCTGTCTAGATAGAGGACGGGCGCAAGCCGGTCCCTCTGGGACGAGATAAGTGCTGATCAGACAGGAGGTGAACAAAGGACACCCTCCCGATATCTCCAGCACAAGTTCCAGGCGTTAAACTGGAGTTAGGAATAAACCAGATTTTAGTGGGAAAACTCTAAACCTATCATATCTCAAAAGGGCCCATGACCACGCAGTTGTGCAATTTGTGTGTGTGTGTGTGGGGGGGGGTGGTCATGGTAATATTCCCATCACCTCTGTCCTGTCTCTTATTAAGCCGTAAAAGACATCTATAATCATGAAAAATAATTGGAAAGTCGAGTCTGGGATTTTAAAATCGGAGAAGCTTTATTAAAGATTCTTTGCAGCACTGATGAATGTGACAAGTACCCTTAGAATCAAGCTTTTTGGTGCTTGGAGCTTCGGCTTTGTCTGCAGAAATGTGGGAGTGGATCCCTCAGATGACTGTGGTTCGGATTGTAATGACCCGTCCATGTCAACTCCGCCTGCTGGTTTGTGGTATGTTGGGGTGTTTACTCTGCAAGGCCAACACTCTCTGTTGGTGCCCCCGGAGTGGCCAAGAACCCCAAGTCTGCAGTAGTCGCCCTGTGGGGGCCCCCATCTTGGAGGAGCTGCAGGGGTGAACTCACGGTCCCTCTCTTTTCTGTCCTCAGTTTGCTGGTGAAGAGAACCCCCAGAAGTGTGGGTTACAGACCCGACTGTAAGTACTGGGCAGGGCGTGCCGGTTTGGGTGAGGGGGGGGTGTCGGCCTGTTCGGCTCGGTGGTTTTTCGAGGGCTGTCTGCTCCCGGAGACCGGCTGGGAGGGGGGTTCCCCAGGAATAGAGAGAAACCTGCCAGCTCTCGGAAGTCGTGTAAAATCGGTGCTCACAGTACTCGCTCTTGTGCTTTTAATATTCACTCAGTATCAGCAGCATTTCTAATAAGCGAAGACGTTTTTTTATAATTAGATTAGGGCTCATGTTGAGGGACTTTTTTAAAGGGGTTTCTATGCCTGAAAATGTTGAAAACCCCTTAAGTAACCTTATATTATGTTTCTACTTGATTTATCTTAAGAAGAAGCCCCTGTGTGTTAGTTTGTATTGGGTCAGATGTTGTTGTTTTTGTTGTTGTTTTTAAAGGTGATATGTTAAACCTGAAGGTATTTTTGTGCTCTGTGCTGACATACTGTATTTATAGCCTTGTCCACCCTGTTGACTGTTTTCAAGACTGGTTGCAGTAGCACCGCCACACCAGCAGATGGCAGTAACGCTCTTCAGTTAGACTTATTTTACACTGGATTTAAAAAAAAAAAGAATTACACTGGATTCCAACCTTAGAAAGGCCTTAGAAATTGTTTTCCCCGACAGGTATTTGGTCTAAAGAGAAAAACCTTGCGTTGATGTTAACGGAATTATAATCTCTTTTCAGATATAGGATTTGAGGTTCCTGACAAATTTGTAGTGGGATACGCCTTAGACTACAACGAGTACTTTAGAGATCTGAATGTAAGTATAAAACGTAGTACTGGCCGTGTGTGAACTAAGCATGTGTTTCAGTGGCTGTCTTTTAGCCTTTTCCCCTCATTGTAGAAGGTTGAACCCTTTCAGCACAGAATGACATTGAGAATTATTTTAAAACAAAAATAAGTGCGCAGGTCTGATCCAGGCACTTTTCCTGATTTTGAATTCTGCATCTCTAAAGTGAATTTACAAGAGCTCTCAAAAGCATGCTCTAAGCATCTCTGAATCATCACATAAAAGTTACATCTAAGACTGTTGTCAACTTAAAAAGAAGTTGACATTTCTATTGTAGCAATTTCAATTGAAAAAGAGTTGTCTCACATTGACCGTTCAACTCCTTGAGTCCCAGACTGAAAATGTGGAGTCAAAACCTTTTACAGCTGTGTTGATAAATGCCGGTTCAGTGCCAAGTTCATTAAGAGCGAAGCCTGGTCTGCTTTAAATGCAGTTCTTCACAGCTGGGAATCAACTCTCGTCTCTTTCAGCACATCTGCGTGATCAGTGAAGATGGCAAAGAGAAGTACAAGGAATGAAGAGGACTTCGCTCCCCCTCCTTAGCTGTGTCTTATTATTATATTATTATCGTATCGTTAATTTTATATTTTAAGAAATTTTAAAGAGCTCGAGTAAGGCGGCACAAGTTCACGAGAGGGAGGCTAGGGTCCGGGAGCTCCTCCTGCCACAGAGAGTGCCGAAGTCTTCTTCGCCCATCACAGCAGCCCCCCCTCACCCTCACCCTCACCCACACACGCCACAGCTGCACGCCTGGGTGGGGATCCCCTTCCTGTAGGTACTGTGCAACTCCAAGGCTTGGCTCTGGGAGGCCGTAGGCAGTCGGGCGAACAGGGCGTGCGTGACGGTGCACACCTGCTTCCTCACTCACAGGGACAGGACAGGCGAGGCGGGGGGGGGCGTGTGGCGGTCAGCCCTAGCTCCTGCGGGTTCAGAGCAGGCAGGGGTGGGGACGGGAGGGGGGGCCAGCGGCGCAGAGGAAGCGTTGGGTCCGGCCACACGGCCCGCTCACTGAAATGGATTTGCAGGGGGTTGTGCCGTAGTTCTACATGGGAATAATTGGGAGTTCTGCCCTTTTCACTGGTGTGCTCTGAACCAGTCGATCTTACGGGCCAGACGAGACTTGGAACCTGGATTAAATCGGAGCTCCGCCGGTCATCGATTCCAACCCCCCTTACTGGCCACACTCGGCATCAGCTGCCTGCTGGGCGCATGTATTTGTGTGCCCAGCAGAGGGCGCTGCCAGATGTGGTTCGGTACTGGCGTGTAGCAGCCAGGTCAAAGTTTTCATTCAGTTCAGGCCTCAGGCTTCTCGGCCCACTGAGGCCCTTCAGTTAAAAGCCCTCCCACTGTCCCAGTCGTCTTCACAACTGTAAGTGTCCAGTCCCAATCGCATTTACAGGCTTCCGTCGTTGTGCTTCAGGGGGTGCGCCCTTCTTCCCGAGCTGTTGGCTGTTGTCACAGCCCCCACGACTCCCGTCTCTCCTCACAGCAGTGCTGAGCTGACTTCTACAAAGGCTGAAACGTCTGGGGAAGCCAGCAGTTCTGCGCTTACATCGGTGGGTGACGAGGAAAGAAAAGGCCTTTTCTGAAAAGAGATCAAGGCCTTAATCTTATTTTTTGTCAAGGTTAGAAAAAGGACTTTAGAGACCTGCTGCAGCCCCTTCTGGTGAGTGAACCACCTCCTGTTGCATCAAATGTTGCACATGCCTCAAGTTTATTCATAATTGCAGGGGGAAAGGAGCGCTGTTACTCGGCTTTATTTTTTTAAAAACTATTTTGCAGTTTTAAATCTTGGGAATGTTTAAAATGAATGCTGAAAAAATGTCTGAAAGGCAGAACTGATCGTTACTGTTGTAGCATTTTGCGGCAATTAGAAATCCCCCTCTCCTGCCCTCTCCTCTTGCGAGTTTCAAGGATTTTATCGTTTTAGCTGGTCCTCTTCACGCTGAGAATGTGACACTTCCGTTTCCTTTTTCATCATTTACCAAGTCGTGGAAGAGTTCACAGCTGGAAATCTGTTCATGGCACCTGAACAGAAATTCTGCATAATTCCCCGGGCTTCACCACAAGCCGGCATGCGTGTTTGCCACGTTGTTTTAATTCCCTTTGTCACCTTTTAGTTTCACAGACTGCACCCTCCCCAACACGTTTCAAGGACCAGACTGCACCCCAGCGCGTCCGTGTGGGGGAGACCTTTTCAGTTAAAGCCAAGTTGAAGAAAATAGCAGGTATAGCTTTGAGCAGCCTGCTCCTTAACATCATACCTATTTGTTTGAACGTGTGGATCACCGCTGAAGATACGCAAGTGGTTAATTGGCTCAATATTATACATTTGTAGTAAACTGATAAATACACAGCAATCCGTAAAGAGCAGGATAGATTACCCATGTTTTTTTTCAAACAACTTTATTACAGGGGGGGTCCTGTAAAATCCCACCTGTGACTTGCATCTCAAGAACAGTGCTCACAGTCCAGTCCATTTCAGGTCTTACCAGGTGCCTCCAGGGAGGCCACCACCCAGTGCTGGGTATTTGCTATTGTGTTGTCTATTTCGTCTAGACGTGGCATAGCCTGGACTTGGTTTTCTTCAGCACTACAGCCTGTTCAAAGGGCTTTAGGTTTTAAGATCGAAAATGGATTTAACAGCTGGCCAGTGACACTCTTGATCGCTTCTCTACCATGCTGAGGTAACTGAAAATGAGTACCCTCATTTTACCTGTTTACCTGTACAACTTCCCCCATCTTGGAAACACCTATTGCAAGACATTCATCCTGCGTGTTTCGGAATAAAACAGAGGAAGGTGTGGCACCACCTAACTTGGTTAAATTCTGAAAATGTAACCTGTTTTTGGATGCTTTGTGGTATGGTCAGATTGTACAATGTTTCTCCACATTCACCTTTTTGCCAAAAAGAAAATATTTACTTTTTGTAATGCTTTAAGTGTATAAATGCTTTAAAAGTGGCAATGCATATTTTAATATTGGATGCACTTTTGAGTTTTTTGAAATGCTGACATTGGAACTGAAGCCTCTTGTTGATGTTAGTTTATAAACAATCCACATGTACCAGTCTCTGGTGAAAATACTATAAACATAGTTTTGTAAATGAACACCTCTGTAATATCTAGAACGTGACACAAAAGAAGATAAAGGCTGAAGTTCTGAATTTTCGAACTATTCGTTTTTGTTTCAAACAGCCAAAAGACAGTTAAACTAAATTTGAAAGTCAAAATTTGCAGCATTGTGTTATCATTTTTCTTGTTCTGTCAATCGGCAAGAAGGTGGAAAACCAGCTTCCAACCAAATTAGAACAAGAATTACATTTGTGGTCCTCCCACAAAGAGTGAAAACTTTAAAAATGTACATGCACAGCCCTGCATGAGTCAACACCCTGACAAATATACACAGCTATACTACATACAGAACGCAGAGTCAGGATCCATTTGGATGATGCAGGAATAGATGTGCTTTTAGGAGACCTTTCTGTTGTCCAGTGTAAAAGTACCCGAGCAGCCATGGGTTGGGCCTGTAAAAATCCGTCAATGTTTTGTACTGCTGTCACAATACAATCTCTACAACACGCCATCACTGTGACAATAAATTGTAATTTTGAAATGAGCCTGGTGTGAGGACCTCTTCCTTCTCCACGAGTGAGGCAGGCCCGGAGGACTCGAATGTCCAAATGCGCAAGGAAGGGGAAAAAAAAAAAACACATTTCTGCTGCCTAGCTGCAGCACCCGGCTCAACAAGCTGGAAAAGAATTCCCCCCACAAGAAAAGACTGCTTTCTCAAGTTCTTTAATGAAGCATGTTGTAAAATTAACAAAGCCGCGTTCACGGTTCTACGGCACCAGCCGGGGACTGGACACCTCGGTACCGAGACGGGAAATCCAGGTCCATGGTCCGCGCTGGCCTTACTGAAGCAGATCCGCCAACACTGGAGACCCCAATCGGCGCCACTCCAGTATGTACGTGCTGCTACAGCACGGCCAGCGACGCGCGGGACTGCGGGCGGGTGTGGCAGGGCCGATCCGGCCCCCTCTCTCGCGCTCTTTCGCTCGCTCGCTCGCTCGTGCTTGCGCCGCAGAGGCAGCTCCGCATGGTCTGTATCTCCTCGTCACTACAAACCATGTAGTGCTGCTACAGCCGCTGCAAGCCCACCATCCCCGCCAGGTGCCGGTACAGACGGCCGTGCCCAGGGGCATCCCTCCACCGCCACGTCTTAAATGTCCGACGCCCGAGACCCAGGCCCTTTCTTCTAGGACACCTCCCTCCGTGGTCTTCCAGCGCTCCCTCCTACGGGTGTGTTTGCGAGCAGGCGTGGGGGACTCACCTGCGAGGCAGCCAGAGCCCGTGGCCCAGGTGCACCTGGTGGCGCAGGGCGGGGGTCCTCGGGGGAGCGAGGAGAGTCGCCCCCGCTTCTCAGTTTACCGGAGGGGAGTCGGCCCGCACGCACCGGGGTTCCCCCCGGCGAAATCCCCCACCCCAGCGGTTTCAGTCCGCCTGCGCGACGGCTCCGGTCAGAACGCGGGCCCCGCCCACTGGCCCACGCAGGGAGGGGGGGGTGGGGGAGGTTGAAAAGTGCTTCGGCTCATTCGAAAGGCGTTGTCTGTTTTTCTCAGAATTTAGAAGCTCCCGGCTTGCTCCTGGGACAGTGTTGGGAGTATTGTTTAACACCAAACGGTCCATTCCCTCAGCGTGACCCGTGTTTCAGTGCCTGCGATGTTGACGGGCGTGTTTAAGGACTGTCGATTGTGCCACATCAGGACAACATCTCGATATCGTTCGGCGCAGAAATTATACCCATCGCAAACCCGATTCCCCTCATCAGAAACCTAACAATGAGCGCCTGTGTCTCCCTGAAATGTGCAAAAGAACTGGCTTACCAGGGTCCGTTGTGCACGTCTGCCAGAAACAACACGCGTTTACGAGGAACATTTCAGCTGAAACGAGGCTGTGGGCTGTGTGTCAAAAAGTGAAAATTACAGTGGAATGAATACTAACAAATTACCAGGAACAATCCGCGCCTTGATCCCGCAGTTGCTGTGTGTCACAAATATTAAGCTTCTTAATATTCAGAAATTTACCCGTCTGGAGAACAAAGAAAGTGATTACACAGTCCATTAGTCATAAATGCCTTCAGTCGTTCACAGTTTGTTAAAACTTTACCTCCTGCGGCCCACAGCACTACTCCAGTAACACTTGGGAGTTAAAACACACTGGTCGTCTGATCATCTTTTGCACAAGAGCAAACCGTTGCTCTCCGTTCAGACTTTAAGTGTCAAACACTAGTTAAAAGTTGCAGTCCGCATTACAGTTCAGAATGAATGAGGTTTTCTTTTGTTTCACAGCAGTTCCTAAACCTTATTCTCAAGGATTTATGGTTGTGTGCTTTCAACTTTTTAAAGTTCTCCACAAAACCTCCATAGAAAAATAGTTAAGGTTGCGACATTCTAGAACCTCACTAAAAAATTTAAATCAATCGATTTCTCCTCTTTTTGCAAACTCGCGCGCAGTGAGGCCTTCAGGATTATAGAACCAAAACTGTTAGCTATTGTGAACTTGAAGAGCGCTGGTTCAGTGGTGCAGCTGGGCCTGAATTTGGATCCCAAATTTCAATCGTGGGAAAAAAAACCGGGGCAGAGACACCAATACGTCTCAGTTACTCGAATCAACGGTACAAACCGCTTTCTAATTTTTTTTTATTTTCTCAACTCATGATGCATTAAGCTTTTAGGACTTTGGAATTGATCACTGGAATGCAAATGATTTTTATTTTTTTTTAAATGCACCAAATGTGGATGAACGGACTGCTCACATTTTTACTTGCAATAAAACCAGCTTTGGGGGGGGAATGCAACCACTATCCTCAAATATTATGCATCCAACTACTCTTCTCCAGCAGCAAAGGCATAATAAAGAGTGAATAGAAAGAGAGAGAGAAACCTCCACCCCCAGCCAGGTCAATAGTCCATTTGTGAGAATGGAGGAAATGGGACACAACACACTCCCAGACTTACTGCGCGTACAGAGGACACACTGTCAGGAAAATCCTGCCCACTTCTCCCCGAGAGGGAAGATGTGAAATGTGTTTCAGCTCCAGGGCGCTGGCAGGTTCCCCTTTTCCCTTACAACATCACAACAGGATGAAGGAGCCCTTTGTGAAAGAAGCTGCACCCTCAAAAACCCAAATCGGCAGTGCCCCCCGACAGACTTATTCAGAACTCCCTCCCCCTCCCCCCCCTCGGCCGAGACTCCCGCTCTAAAACACTTCCGGGTCACCGGCGATGAGCAGGTGAACGACAGCAGAACCACAGAACCAGAGTGACGAGGAGCACCGGGGACCGGCCGGGGACCAGGACGCCCCTCCTGTGTTGCGGGACCCTGCGGAGCGTAAGGAGGGGCGTCCTGGTCCCCGGCCGGGACTGGGAACGCCGAGCGCCAAGCACAGACGGGCTTTTTGGCACCGGGACGTCCACAAGCGGCTTTAAGAAAACAAAACTAATTGTTGGGTTTTTTAGCATTTTGTTGTTGTTGTTTTTTTTTTGTTTGTTTTGAAGGGGAAGTTACCAGCTTAGATTCCACATTTCCAATGTTGCTGCCGGTGCTGCCCTCTGCCTCCTTTCTCTGGTATTGCTCCCAGGTCACCACAGTCCTGCCCTTCACCTAGAAGGGAAGAACAAGACCATCAGAGGTGCTGTGCTTCCGGAGAGACCCACGCAACCGGACAGAAAAATACCAACCCAGCAGAGGAAGGATTGGACCCCCCTGATCAAACTTACTCTGGCACCACGCAGAGCCGTAGAGAAATGTGCAGCAAACGGGCCATATTTTTCCTCTTTTTCACTCCTGCTAAGCCCCCCGTTATCGGACAGAGCCAACTCGGAGGCTGCCATTCCTAACTGGAAGGAGGACGCAGTGGAAAAGATTCGGGGGGTGGGTGGAGAGATGCTGCCAAGACATCTATCTGCACACAACAGCCTCAATTGATTGTCGCAGCCCGACGCTTAGTTTTAACCTGCGCGAGGCGCCCTTTCAAACTCACAAGCGACAACAGCGAGGGGGGCCGGATCTTTCTGCGGCTTTACGCAACACTGCTCGAACCGTGAACATCTGCCCGCGGGGGATAAGGGTCCATCAGTGTGGCTCCAGCGGGCAGTGCGTTTTTTTTATTTTAATTAGGGAGGGGGGGGGTGGTTAGAAAATGGGACCGAAAAGAAACCTTCCCCACAATGCCAACAGCACTGCTGTAGTCCCGAACTCTCTGCCAGCCTAAATAACAGCAGAGGCCTCCAGACCCTTGGTGCCAACCTCTTCCCCTGGACCCGCGGCAGCATCAGCCACGCCCCCTGGTGGCCAGTGGCAGTACACAAGGCCACCGATCACTTCCTGCCCCCCCCCCCCCCGGTGGAAAGGAGCCCGGGTCTTACCTCTTCGACGGGCAACGGGCCTGCCTGTGGGCCGCAGGCAGGGGGCAGGTGTCAGGGCTGCAAAGCGAAAGGAGAGAAACAAGTTGACGCCGTGAGGATGTAGCCGAGGTTTGAAACGTCAAACACGACCGAAGTCATCCACACAGCCGCGTGGCTTGCCACACGCCGAAACACAAAGCAGCAGGTACCTTTTCCCCCGACATAAAACGAGGACACCGCGTCTAATTTTGTTACGCAGCGCGAAGCTCGAGTACCAACTTTTCACACCGGAGCAGGTGGCAACGTGTGGCAGAGGCCGAGTTTCATTCCACGCCTGGAGCCAGAAAAACACAATCCTTATCCTGCGTATTTACAACTTCCTCTTTTCTTATTTGCAAGCAGACTGACACGGACGTCCACAGAAAGTCCGAGAAGACAAAGCCTACCCCGGCCCCAGACAGCTCCCCTCTTGAGTGATCAATGGGTGAAACTGATTACAGATGTACCGATCACAGCTGCAGTGACTGGGGTCGCTCAAACAGGGTTTGAATAGGACAGGGCTTCTCTCTCAGACAAGTTCAGGCACATCCCTGCTACTGTGCAGACAAGGCAGCACGCAGGTAGAATTGCAGGGCTGCTGCGATGGTGGTGTCAAGTGTGATTTTCACAGCCCCCGCGTTAAAAAAAAAAAAGAGCATCATTCAGAACAGGTCATTGACGGGCGCTGCTGTTAAATAAGGGGTTCCCCGAAAACTCACCCCAAGCTTAGCCGTCCCAACTAGTGACTTGTTACAGTACTGTGAAACACAGTATGAGTGTAGGACAGGGCAGACGCCGACAAACTCTCGGGTGGATAAGTACATCTCCGTGAACTCGAGGTGAACGGACGTATCTTGTTCAAGAAATGTCATTTTAAAAAAATATATATGTGCATCTGTTTGATCTGAAGCAAAATTATTTAAAAAGCGTTAAAAAAAAATGAACTTCTGCCCCACACACTGCGATGTCACGCTGGGTCATTTCTCCTAGGCTGTGCGCTACGGGTCGCCGGGGCTGTGAACACAAAAATAAAAACTGAAAAACAGCATTCGTGAGAAAACGGTACCACGTCGTGCGAACACACCGACTTGCAATAAATTCGATGATACAATTTAATGTCACCTTGCCGGCTAAAAAATCAACGTTCAATAAATAAGAATAACAGTTCAATAAGACGAATAATCCGAAAATAAGAACTTTATTATCTCTTCCAAACCGGTGATCACAGTGATGCTGTATCAGAATATACCGTTTACTAATTAAATATCAAAACGTTTCGTTGCCTTAAATTGGACAAATATTGCGTTCTCTATTTTTTATCACGAATTGGACATTTATATACTACTAAACCAGTGTAACTCCTGTCCCCAATTTAGACATTAAAAACAGGTCAGTAAAAAAGCGTATTAAAACTTGAATTACATCCCCCTGTAGACTTCGACGTTGATCAAGTAACTTTTAATGATCCTTTCAGGCCACTGTGACTTTTTAACATTAAAACTGGACATCCACGTAATGTGGAGCGTCAGTCTGTTTTATTAAAAAAAAAAACTCCCCCACACTAAAAACGACACTGAAAAGAAAAAATACAGAGAGTAAAAAAAAAATAAAAACCAAAAACACAACAAAAAAAAAAAAAAAACCCAAAAAAAACCCAAACTCAACAAACCCGTAAATTAAAAAAAAAAGTTTTAGGCTCGTACACTCAGATCGAGATCTTCTTTTGAGTGTAAATAAAAAAATAGGAAGTCGTAAATTCAGCTTAACAAATTCACAGTCGTATTGCCTGCAAGGGAGTTATTGCTTTTATTTCCTCGTTGTTGCCTAAAACAGGTTTAAATCGAAACGACGTCTCGTTAAAACAAAAATACTCAAAAGTACCGTTAACATACGGTAGCTAACTCGTCCCAAACTTACAGAAAAAAAAAGAAAGAAACCCCCCCAGTTTGTAAGCCTTTTTGTCATTATTATATCTCTCGCCCCCGTATTTCTTTTTCGTTTTATTTATTTTTTTCTAAAGAAACTCAACGGCTCCCCACCAGCAAACAAACAACAACACACACACACACAAAAAAGAAGCGACCTAGAGAGAAAAAAAGTGCAGCTTGTTTTCTATTTAAACTTTTTTTTTTCCCATTTTAAAACTAAATTCCCGGGACAAAATCCCCCCCCCCCTCCCTCTCCCTCTTCCCGTTTCGGGACTCCTCAATCGGGGCGAACCGTGAGGTAGTGAAGGGAGAGAAAAAAAAAATCCTGCAAAATAATTCCCCCTAAAATCCCTACTTACCTCCAGCCCAATCGAAAATGGCGCCGAAACGAAAAAAAAAACTGCTTGAATTTCATTGTAAGGTCCCGCAGCAAGGCGTTGTGGGAGCCCCGGCCCGCGCACCGTCCCCTTTCTGCCCTGCTGACACGAGTGGGGCGGCGGACACGCAGGAACCCGGAGGGGTGGGAAAAAATACCCCCCCCCCCACACACACGCACACACACTCACACACACACTCGCGTTGTTATAAAAAAAGATTATCGGACCTTCGTTTCGTGGCTCCGGCAGGGCGGCGGGAAGTGCAACTTGTGAACCTCGCCGCCCCCCCCCCCAGAGCAGAGGTGCAGGTTGAGCACACCGGAGCCCCCAAACTTTGTTGTCTGTTGTTGGGTTGTTGTTGTTTTTTTTTTGGGGTGGGGGGGGTAACACGGCGACTGTGGATTGAGCGCGTTTAACTCCCCCCCCCCCGTCGGAAAAAAAACGACACTGCATTTATACCCCTTTGTGCTAACCGCAGGCTGCTTCTCTACGACAGGCAGCTAAAAACGCGGACACACACACTGTCGGTACTGAAGTTTTTTTTTCAAGTGTCCCCCCCCCCACAAACACACACAGACACACACCTCACCCCCCCCATGCACCGGCGACTGACTGCTGCGTGTTATTGTTTTGAGAGAGAGAGAGACGGAGGAAAAAAACAACAACCGTTCATCTCTCCATCTTTCAGCGGAGCCGTTGAGACTTTTCCCTCCTCATGCAAGTCGGCAATAACCATTCCTATAGTAAGATGTCTACATATTACCTTTTAAGACTCCCTTAAAAGCTTTCTTTTAGAAAATGTATGTAAGTATATATTTAGATCTTATTAATATATTATGGGCTGCGGGGGTGGTCAGCGGACTGGGGTGCTGTGTGTGTGGAGTTTGCATGTTCTCCCCATCTCCAGGTTGGTTTCCTAGGGGTGCTCTGCTCTCCTCCCAGTCACAGTCCACACACTGGTAAGCTAAAACGCTTTAGGGCGAAACTGGCCCTGGTGTGTGTGTGTGTTTGCGTCTGTCTGCCCTGCGATGGACTGGCGTCACGTCCAGGGTGTACCCCGCCTTCCGCCCTGTGGCCTGCTGGGATAGGCTCCAGCAGCGAGCGACCCTGAACTGGATGCTCGCTCGCCCGGCAGGTCCAGCACCTCTGGAGAGAGAGGATTCCCTTCGGCGGGTGGCAGCGAGGCTGAAGAGGGCTGCGCCTTTGTGCCACGAGGTCCCTCTGCTCTCGCAGGCCGTGAAACGAAGCCCTTTGGGAAGGACTTCTGGGACATTCACAGCTCCCTACCGACGTGTGTCAGATCTCAGTGCAGAGACGCATCATATATTCCACACACGCAGCGATCGGCACCTGCTCTAGCTGATCCCCTGCAGCCCGAAGGCCTCCTGCAGGTTCGGCTCTCCAAGTCGGGCTCCCTGCTCCACGCGCCTAGCTCGGGGACCTGATCTCCCCCGTGGCCTACAGGCCTACACGCAAACACACTCGCTTGACGGTGGTCAACACTCAGACTCCTGGGAAGGAAAGTGCAAGTCACCAGACTGCAGAAACCGGACCCCAGGCCAGCGCGGGTTTCGGGCAGTGCTGTGCGAGAGACCGCGCGGGAGGCGCGTGAGACAGGGACCCCCGGCGGTGGCCCCACGGGGGCCCCGAGCCATTCCCCTGTGTGACGGGAGCCGTCATCGTTTCTCGCGTCGGGGTTTCAGTCCGAGGCAGCACTCCTCGAAAAACCGCCGCTCCGGGGCGGGAGCGCGACTCCAGATATGAACGGGCACGCCGCAGGACTTCGGTCAGGCCGCCCATGAGAAAAACAGCGAAAGGAAGGAATGAAAGCCGGCTTTTGGAAACGTTAGTTGCGTGGAGGGGGTGTCCATCCTCCCCCGAGGCGTGGGTGGGGCAAGAGGGCTTTCTCCCGCCTGGGGGTGGCGTCTGAGAGAGAGTGGGCAGGAGATCTGTGCGGGTCCGCCTTCGAATCCCGCCAGGCTGTGAGTCCCACTGCGGTTAACCTGTAATAACCCCGTGCAGGGGCCAGCGACGAGTGTGAGGGTCTGGGGGGGCCAGAGTGCTCAAACATGCTCAAATCTCTGCAAGTGTGTGGTGGGGGTGGGAAAGGTTGATCCAATACTCTGGTGGTCCCCTCCACCAGGAACACCCTCTCTGCGATTCTGCGATCCTACTTCACAAATGAGGATAGACTCCACTGAGTATGTCATGCTGCTGCAGTGCGACAACGCGGTATGGAGTGAATAATTGGTATGAATAATTTCCCGACAATTATTGACTCATAATCTTTTTAGCGAATTGTAGTTTCTTTTTATCTGGGGACCACCTGGACTGTGTACGAGCCCCCCGCCCCAGCTTCCGCTTGGACCCCACGAGACCCATCCTCGGGAAGGGTTAGGAGATCGGAGAAGTCCTTCGACGCCTCCGCGATGAAGAACCGGGGAAGTTGTGTTCCCCTCGTGGTTAACTCCAGAGGCGGTTTCACAGACCGGAGTGTCCTGGAGGTCACCAGGACCGACTCTCCCCGGCGTCTCCGTCCAGAAACAGCGCCAAGTCTCCAGGCTACCCTGCGGCGCGGTGAAATATTTCCGTTTTTTATAACCGCCGTGAGAGCCGGCGTCACGCTGCCGACAGGCTGGGTGTCTGCCTTCTCTGCGTTCTTGCAGCCTGAGACGAGCTGCCCTACAGCCTGGCCAGGATCAGCCCCAGGGTGGGGTAGTCTGTGGGCGGTGCAGCTGGCTCCCTGCACAGGCTGAACACCCGTCCTGCACCGTATTTATACCCACAAGGAAGGCCTGGACTTCCACTGCCTTACGGTACAGGATACCAGCACAGCGCTGCTGCTTGGTCCTCACAACCACCCATATATGGTAAAAACCAAACACTCTGCAGAACACATCCAGCAGCCCGCGGCAACTCCCAGCCTCTTCATGTCACAGATCGAGGCCTTTTTCTGTTCGTGTAAAATTATGTCTTGCGCCTATGAGCACAGCTTTGGTGTGAACCAGAAAACTCTGGGGTGAGGAGGCGGGGGGGGAGGGAGGCAGGAGGCAGGGGGGCCCGCTTAATTAGAGGTTAGAACGCCATGGAAACACAACGAGGCCTGGAGCCCGGGTCAGCCACCGAAGAGTTTACAGCAGGGGTGTGAAACCGGCGTCTGCTGGCTTTAGTTCCAGTCGAATTAATGATTTACCGGATTATTGTCTTGGACAAAACAAGGAATATCAGCCCCCCAGGAAGTGAGTCCCTCTGTCTGTGAATTTGGACAAGCCCTAGACCCTGCAGAATCTCAATGAGAGCCCTCGAGTTCTGTGTTCAACGTGTTAACCTTACCAGTTCAAAATGGGTTGTGTGCTAAATACCCACTCCAGCAGGGCAACACCACCTGCCTGTCGTTTCGTTCACGGATTCTGCCGAAGGCTGAAAGAATGGGGAGCTGAAAGAGGACAACATGCGGACCCAGGCCTGGGGGGAGGGGCTAGTGGTCAAAAACAGGAAGAGGAAGTTCATGCAACGTGTGGCCTAGTGGCCGAAGTCAAGCTCAGAAGGCGGTCTGGGTCAAATGTTACTCTTACAGGGATTGTTTACCTGTAACAAGAGAGCTCGTTTACACTGGGTTTGAAGTTATCAAAGTTATTTTAAAACAGGCCTGAAGTTGCTTAGAAACCTACCGTTCCTGATTTATGTATACTGTATATACTTTAAAATTATAGAGTTATGTTTTACAACAACCATTTTCAACAACCTCAGTCCAATACAGAGGTGATGAGCTGGAGTCTAACCCAGCAGACAATGCGAATAAGGCAAGAGGGAAACACCCTGGATAAATGGTGTGATGAACTGCAACACAGACACCAGTTAACCTAGAGCAGCACCTCTTTGAATGGCGGAAGGAGACCAGACTGTCTGGAGAAATCCACAAACATGAGGTGGGACATGCAAACTCCACACGGAAGGCCAGGCCAGGCAGACTTGAACCCAAAATTAAAGTGCCATGAGGCAGCAGACCCAAGTTGACACATATAAGACATATTACACATGGAAACACCCAAGAGCAGTGGGACAGACACCTGAATATGCAGAATAAACGTCCAATAACAAATGTCTGATTGCACAAGGATGTTGACTATAGCATCGCCAGTTATCTCTGTCACACCCACCAAGTGGAACCACGTAGGGGAGAAGCAGGAAGTGCAGAGAGACTCCCCTTCCCTGCCTACCTCTGATCGAACCTCCCGATCCTCCCAGCAGAAGATCAGCCCCCAGCACGGGTGAGGAGCATCCCTCACAGACAGCATCACATGCCCACAAGTGCCCAGGAGGCCCACAGGGGGCGCTGTGTCACCTGGAGACTCCTGTCCGACTCTAATCCCGCCCTGTCCTTGGAGGTGCTCAGCCAACTGTGTGTGGTTGCTTGGGGAGTCCCAGTTCATGACATGACCCAGGCTCGAACCCGTGATCATCCTGCCCATCTGAGCCAGTATCAGGAGGCCCTGTGCCTATCATTTTAATCATCAGTTTGGGTGCAGTGGGCTGTTGGTTTGCAGAGATCCCTTTTTTTTTCCCTCATCTTCTCCTCAAAATGATGCTTGTGCTAAAAAGCTCCGATGATGGTCAATGGGTCTTCATAAAATCATTCAGAGAAACCACACTACCAAAGATGTAATGTGGGTGCAGTACAGTGCGTGAGTCACTGCGTTGTCACTGAGGAAGGGAAAAATAAACAACCACAATGCAAGCCTTGGGTTCCATGTTTGAATTTTGTCTCAGTTTTGGTCACACAATAATACACCAGTTAAAGGGCATGTGTGTGTGATCACAGTGATGCCAGTAACAGAACAGATGTAGCATATTGCAACATGGGCGAACAAATGTCTCACTTCCGGTAAGTTCAGGAACATCAAGCTTCGCGCTCAGAATAGCTGACTTGTATGCTCGTTAATACCTCCAGAGCAAAGAACGCCATGCCCTGCTCTGTACGATGGGACCAAACACACAACAGAGCAGCTTGGGGATGATCTTCAAAGATGCAATGCAATGTGGGTGTCCAAGATGTTTTGTTTTTTATAAAAAAGCACATGGTAAAGGGGATCTCTGCACTGTCCTCCTCTCCATTAAGTTGCACCAATGTTTGTAGCTTGCAAAAAAAATAAACAGGGGCCTCATTGTGGGACCTTACACTATCCCCCGCTCTGTCCACGCGAGGAAGGACTTCCCATAAGCTGCAAAGAAATCCAGGAAAAGTTATGAGATGCACCATGTCTCTCATGCAGAGGAGAGGTTTTACCATTTTTCCTGAGTAGCTATGTTCCCCAGTTGGCTGCAGAGCT